TTGTGTTATGCAGGACTTTGTTTAGTTGCACTGTGTGGGATCCTTCTTAGTTGCCATGTGGGAACTTCAGTTGTCGTATGCGGGATCTAGTTCCTTGACCAGGGAACGAACCCAGGCCCCCTGCGCTAGGAGCCTGGAGTCTTAACTGCTGGATCATCAGGGAAGTCCCTATTCATCTACTTTCTGATGGCCTGTGTGGACCAAGAAAAGGCGACGTGGGCACCTGCAGAGCAGGCAGGGACTGACCAGAGGTAATGCAGAGGTGGCGCTGAAAGTCCTACCCACTTAAAGCCAATGGCACATGGAGAATCTCACAACATAACAGGACACCCTGTCCCCATGCTGGTAAGAGGAGGTTCATGCCTCGGTCTAAGTTACTCTTCTACTGTCTCCTCAGATCCGAACAAGAAATTGTTACATCTGGAGGGTGTGTGTGTATGTGTGTGTGTATGAGCTCAGTCGTGTCCCACTCTTTGTGACCCCATGGACTGTAGCCCGCCAGGCTCCTTTGTCCACGGGATTCTCCTGGCAAGAATACTAGAGTGGGTTGTCACTTCCTTCTCCAAAGTAAGTTAAACAAAGTTATACATTAAATGCAGTTTGTCCTCTACCTGCTCAGCCTACTTGGAATTCCTGGCCTCTCCTGTTTCAAACTTCTCATTTTTCTACTCCTCACCTACACTTCCTGCAGCCCAATACTCCAATACATCACAAAAGGATCCAATATATTCTATGTAAATTTAAATCAATGCATCATTCTTGCGGTCCTTGAATTTGAGGCCTCATCTCTAAACCTGCAGTGTTAAGCATTAAGAAGCAAATGGCAGTAGGTATCTAAGGGCAGGAGTTTGTTCAGAGCCTGTAAAAATCACTCCAGGAAAAGGCAGACACGAGTGACCAGCCCAGATCACGAAGGTCTGGTGGCCAGAGCTGCCCACGTGCAAACTGTATTGTCAGGTCCCCCAGTGCCGCCCCACTCACTGAGAACCACAGTCATGTTCTCCAGGACAGATGAAAAGCCAAACAAGATTTAAGTCCCAGGACACATTAGCGATAGTCTATATACCAAGGAACCCCTTGCTCCTCCTTCAACATAACTAATTTTGAATAATAGGAAATAAATCTGGGTCAATTTTTTGGAGCTGTAAATCCAGACCCGGTAACTCTGACCTCCATTAACTTAGCTAGTATTTCAAATTCCATTGTAACAGTTGCTCTGACTCTTTGGGGGCTAGGAGACAATCCAAGTAACCCAAGAGAAGTATTTCTTTCACATGCCTCAAAATCACCACTCCAGAAAGAATGTACGGGGGGGTGGGTGGGTGGGTGGGGGAGGCTGGAGAAAAAGACACTCTTTAATGTATGGTCCCTTCCTCCTGACTCCTGCCTCTATTGCTTCTTCCTCATCCTTACCGTTTATGTCCCCTCAGCTGATGCTTGAGTATCTTCTATAACATTTCCATATTATTTTCAGGCCCCTAGGATGATCAGGAGACCAGACCTTACTTACAGACAGCTTCCAGTCTAGCTGGAAAGACAGATCATTAAATAAGCAATCGTAGTAATCGTAGAAAATGCTGTGCTAACTGAGGTGTCAGAAGTTATGGGAAAATCCCCTTCTGAGGGGGTGGGAGTGGAGGCTTCGGAGAGGAAGCGATGATTCAGGAGGTGTAGGAGTTAGCCAGGTAAAGTGTGAGAGAGAGTGGAGGAGGGCGTTCTGGAAGAGGGAATGATGTGGGCAAAGTTCCAGAAGGGAGAGAAATTTGACACGCTGGGGGAAGTGGAAATTCTGTCTGGAGACTCAGACTGAGGAAGCTAAGACCAGGTCAGGAGGAACTGGGTGGCAGAAAGCAATGGGAAGGCCCTGAGTGAGGGGCAGGGATCTGGGAAGTTATCTGATCTATTCGACATTCAGAAGATGGCCGATGGCAATGTGGAGAACGGACTGGAGGGATAGGAAGACTACAGCCAGGATAACATGTTAGAAAGATGTCAATGGACCCTGCAGTCACTGCTTCAGTCCCTGGGACTGCAGCAAGTCTGCTTTCTTTGCACTGCTCAAACTCAGGACTCCCCTGAGGACTTGGAAATGCTCCTTCACATGGTACCTCTGGTCAGACTCACTGACTGGGGCACATTCTAATTTAGGTGTTATGTCTTCCCCATGGTTTTCTTTTTCCTCAGAAAGGAGTAAATTCCAGGCGAAACATCACCAGTTTCTAGCTCTTCCTCAGGTGACACAGCTTGTTTAACCAACCCTGAGGTAGACGGAGGGTCCAGGCCTCACACAGCCTGGCAGTTTACCTCAGAAGTGACTTGTTCACATATATCTCTTTTGCTGTGTGGGTTCTGGGACTGAAAAGCATACCCAAGGTGTTCTGTGACTAAGACAAGGGTAGAAAGGCTTTTCGCCTCCCGTGGAGAGACCACTAGGTCTCTGGAAGTGGGCCGAGCGCTGAAAAGGTTCCTTCTTCATTAGTCACACCATCCCTGGTTTTCAGCTGCCCACACCACTACTCCAAGTAAAGGTGACATGTCCCCACCACACCCGCAGCTAGCGGCGACCAGGTGACTAAGGCATACATGGAAGTGTTGTGAGAGACTTCTGGAAGGAGTCCTTTAAGAGAGGGGCGATCCCTGCTGCCGCTGTGGCCGCCTCCTCCTCCTTCCTGACTGAGCTTGGAGCAGCGTTCTTGTCCCCCACATGGAGGCCACATGTTGCTGAGGCTGGGAAAACAGTGAGGGGGTGCGTGGATCCCTAACACTGGGAAGTGCCTCCCTCTCCTGGGCCAACCCTTGGGACTTCTTTCATAAGAGAGAGAAACAAACATTTATGCTGTTTAACTTCCTGTGATTTTTGTGTTTTCTGTCACTCACAACCGAAGCTAAAGCTGACTGATACACGTTCCTTACTTGAGATAATTTATCTTTATTAAAGAAGCCTAAGAATTTGCTGCCCTCCCCACCACATCATGTTATGAAATGACTTTCAGCCTTTTCCTTTTGATCGGCCATTAAAGTGGAATGCTTCTTCACTGGAATGATATGTTAAAAATCATTAGGAATCTTCAAAGGAAGACTTGGCTTCAAGGAAGGACAAAAAGAGAGGTGAGGTATTACACTGGGGTCTCATTCCTCAAAGCGGTTGTACCCTCTCTAAGATCCAGGTTTCTGGGGCTGTGAGTCTAATGAACAAGAGACGATAAGCTGAGCACGTCTTTGTCTATCACGTAGAACTTGTGCTGAGGAGACGTGAGGTGCTGTGGGGCTATGGTGACTCCACTGTTTTGAAACCTGTTTATCAGTGCTTCTGTCTGAGGTCTCACTGGCCCCCTGTAACTCTAGTTTCCCCCACATCCAAAGCCCTGGTGCACTCAGGATTGCTAAATCCAACTCTGCTTAGTCAAAAAGGTTTCTGTTGACTCATGTGAATATGCATCACTGGAAAACTGTGGCAACATTAATTGGCAGAAAGCCAAACCAAACCAGAAGTCTTCACATTTTCTATAAAAGATGAATACAATAATGAATGCAAACATCCATGTATGCTTCATCAGTTTGGTCTAATGCCAAAATGAAGACCAACCATCTCATTAGGCAAGGTTCAGCTCCCATTCTCTCCAGAAGAGTATCACTTATTAGCATAAAGAGGACTTGCTGAGACTATTTCTTGAGGGATGAGCAGGGGAAGGTCAGGAATCAACTTGGGTAAATGAAGAAATTAAAGAACTTTCTACATATCTGAGGCATTCTGTTATATTGTTATCACTGACTAGAAGTTAGTAATTAAAACATGAATGATCAGTCACAATGTCATCTTGTAAAGGAAAGAACAAATCTGACTCCATATTAGATTTCTTTCTTTTTCATTAACCTTTGCATTCTATTGTTTTTGCTACAGGTTAAGAATGTTGCCTATAGTCTGAATAGCCCATTCTCAAGGCTCTGATCTTTAAAGGTGTAATACTTTTCCATTCATCTAGAGATAAAGAGTTTCAGAACAGAGACTATGGTTGTCTTGTTGGAGGTTTACAGGAACATCATGACCTGATCTACCTGGACAGCTGCAAGAACAAACGATTCTACCAAGAAGTTGGCAACAACCAACCACATACCTCCCCTTTTAGTATAAAAGCTTGAATTCTAACTTGGGGGAAAGATGGTTCTTTGGGACACTAGTCCACCATTTTCTCAGTCTATGGCTTTCTAAATAAAGTCACTATTCCTTGCCCCAACAACTCATCTCTGGATTTACTGGCCTGTAATGCAGAGAGCAGTATGAGCTTGGACTCAGTAATAACAATAAAAATGTAAAGATGACTCTCATTAATGACACTGCCAACAATCAGTCTCTTTGCAGACATGAATTTGCTGGCTTAGTGTTCCAGGTGACTGGGACTTTCCCTGGTCAGGAGACTACATGGTTGAGCACTATATGCCCCAGCTGCAAAACGGAGAAGCTCTAGCATGGACTTGCTGATATTCCCTGTCCCTGGTTTTGAATCAGATCTCAGAGTAGTCACAATTCTCCTAACAACTACTAGCTCAGCTTCAATCTTTTTCTTCTGTTTCTCTATGAGGAATGAATGGAATCTCTCTTGGGAATTATCCTGTGCCTAAGCGAAAAACAAGAACAAAAGTTCCCACATTTGGAAAACTAAAAGCCTAACAGATTTCATCAGAGAAAGATGTCCTAAGTTAGCATGTTCCTCCCAGAAACACTCCTGCAATTTATTATTTCCTTCAGGTCATGGTTAAGCCTCACACTGCCATTTCTTCCTGCAGACATCTCCACAACTTCTGGGCTCTGAAAAGTTAACCACTGTAGTAGTGAGAAGTGTGTGTGTCTGGGGAGGGAGGCAGGGACGGGGTGGAGAAATACTGAAACAGCATTAAGAGTCAGTCTGACTGAAAACAACCCTTTCAGGAAAGACAGCACCAGTGTATAAAGCAATAAAGGACGGGCAGCGGCACCATCCTTTACTCACATAACAGGAACAATGAGGTGGTCAAGGAGGGAAAAACTAGGAAAGGCAATTTCATGTAACAAAAGCAACCAAGATGGTAAGTTTTACTTCTGAAATTCTTTGCTTTTATGATTTAGAAGCAATATTTCATAAGATTACAATGACTCATACCTCTTTTGAAAAAAAAGACTGCTTTTGCTTGTCTTTTCCTTTTCTTAATAAAGAAAAGAAAGACCTCATTCACTTATGGCATGAAATCTGAAAATACATTATAAAGGATTAGAGTTGACCCTTGAACAATGTGGGTCTGAACTGCCTGAGTCCACTTAGATGCGGTTGTTTTTCAATAGTAACCATGACAGTACTACCTAGTCCATGGTTGGTTGAATCTGAGGATGTAGAACCAAGGATATGGAGAGTTGATATAAACTGTACGTGGATTAATCCCCATGTTGTTTAAGAGTCATCTGTATTTTCATGAACAAATTCTTCTGAGCAATATATATTTATACTGTTTTACATACTTACAATATGTACCTACTTGAAGAATCTATGTCTCTCTTACATGTAAATGTGAATATTTACAAAGGGGAAGTGGATCTTTGAATTCTCAAGGAAAAAAAAGGGAGAAAAGTAGGAGGGAGGAGGGGGAAATGGAAGGTGGAAAGGAAGAAGGAGGATATTTAATTCCCTACGGGAATGGACACTCCCCAATTATAACAGTGTCTTGCCATGTACAATTCCCTCATAAACTCTGCAACCTTTAGAAATCTATTTGGATTAAGAAACAATTACTTTAAGTTTGGAGTTTTATTCAGGGTGTTCCAAGTTCTGAGACCACTAAACCTACTCCAGAAGAATGACTCACATCGAAGATGTATTTATAGTCAAACAAGTAAAAAGTGTTTGTGAATAAATCAAAATGTCTGTGAATTTAAAAGCCTGTATAGATCAACTGGAGTCATATAAAAGCCTAATAAAGGACCTTGGAAAGTCTCTAATGGAACCATGACACCCTGCAAACCTCTTGTGAACCACAGACAAGGAGAAGATTCTGTTTCTGCCATAGTGGATGAGGTAGAAAAATATCATGCAAGAAAAAAATAGCCTTCCAGCAGTTTTATCAGAGTAATCAAGTCCACATGAAAAGGCACAACACGGTCACCAGTCACAGAATCCCAGAATAACATCAGGGGCTCTTTAGGAAGTGCTAATTGCTTCAGTATATTCCTGCAAAACTGGCAAAAATCAGAGGTTGGGAGAGTGGAGGTACAGGCTTGCTTTGAGCAAAGGTATTCTGGTGCAAAAGAAAAGCCACTGAGTGGAATCCACCCATAACTCAGTTGTGTTCAAGAGAACATTTTTCAGATGTAGAACATGAGCTCCTAAAGGAAACTCTATTTAAAGAAACAGAATAAGGATGAAATAAACATTGGCTGAGAAAAAGAATCTAAATTGTCTCTCTGATCATTTATGAATGACAATATGCAACTGCAAAAACATAATGGACAACAATAATATAACCAAATTCCAAGATATACATTTAACCAACAAATACAATGAACACTTACTAAACGCTAGTCTCTGTTTTAGGCATTGGGGAGTCACTAGCAGACGAAACAGAAAACAGCTCTTACTTCTGTTGATGGTGCTTATACATCAGTGATAAATGCTTTTACCTATCTGAATTGTGGCCTAAACTGATACATATAACACTCTTTAAAGGTAGACATTTTAATGATTCTTCAAATTATTCTTCCATGAATATACTAACTGAACGGTTATACACTTTCTTAAGAATTGTTGATTCTGGAAAAGAATGCATCAAGTACAATCAAATTAGCCCTTAAAATAATATGCAAAATATTTCTTGTCAGATATGGTTTTACATTTATTAGTCTGTATTCATCATCATATATATCTAAATTTTTTAAAGATATTTGTCACCCACAGAACCACCAGCTCTGAGGCTTCATTTAAAAAGAAAGAGATGGCACCCTTTCTCTTGAGGCACTATATTCTAACACAAGAGGTTATAAGACATGAGAAAGACATTTAAACACCGATGGCCAAATGTAAACATAAGTAATTATATTACTAAGTAAAATGCAAAAAGCATTTGTGGTGTAGACACTGAGATGAATGTGTAACAGCATACTTGGAGGATGGGTGACTCAGCAAAAGTCAGTCGTATACAAAAACAACTAGCCTTTATAAGGATTTACTTGTTGAAATGTTTATCAAAAAATTCAGGGTGGTTATTCTCAATAATGTCAGTATCAACACACTTTAAACTGAAGTCATTTTCTTCTCTTACCTACTATTAGCGAGGGTGCTGGCAGGAAATAGGTGGCGTGCTTCAATTAGGATAATTCATGGAGTGGGTGAAGGGTTAATCACCCAAGTGTAGGTAAGATGCAGGGAAATCTCAAGGGCTAGAGCAGGAACCCAGGGCTAATAGCAGAGATGGTCAGCATTTCTAGAAGGACTAGAAGAGGAAGAAGAGTCTGAAGCCAAATAAGAGAAAGTCCCACAGAATAGGCTACCTTGAAAGGCAAGAACTTTCTTGCTAGAACAGGGTAAAAATGGGAGGACATGGATCCAAACAGATGGGGGCAAATAGAAGGTGTCTGACACATACACAAATGTGCTTGTGCTAAGTCGCATCAGTCGTGTTCCGACACTTTGTGACCCCATGGACTGTAGCCCGCTAGGCTCCTCTGTCCATGGGATTTCCCAAGCAAGAACACTGGAGTGGGTTGTCATTTCCTCCTCCAGGGGATCTTCCTGACCCAGGGATTGAACCCACCTCTCTTCTGTCTCTTGTACTGGCAGGCCGGTTCTTTACCACTAGAGCACTTGCGAAGCCCCATATGCTAGTGCCCAATTAAGTTTATTAAATATTCCTTCAGTATTTTGAATGGCTACCCACTCCAGCATTCCGGCCTAGAGAATTCCATGAACTGTATAGTCCACGAGGTCGCAAAGAGTCAGACACGACTGAGCGACGTTCACTCTTTTCAGTATTTTGAGCACCTACTACATGTCAATCCCTGCACTATGCAAGGAGTCTAAAAGATAAGTCAGTCATGGTATTTGCCCTCAAATAACGGAGCCTAGTGTGGATGACAGACATACAGACAGACTGTGTAAAAGGCATTGCCTCAGGCAGACTCTGTAGCAGAAACAGTGGAAAATGTTGGGAGAAGAAGAACACTGAAGAAGTGCTCTCCTTTGGAAAGGGGACATGATTAAGAAATGGCTGACACAGCCCAAACTGTAATATCAAGTTAATTATATTCAGGATAATAAAGAGGTCGCTGAATTATGGGCTTATAATTCTACTGATAGTGTTTATAAAGATAATAGCAATTGCATTAAGAGGTCTTGGCAAACCCTAAATGTGTTTTGGGTTTTTTAAAACCACAATTCATATCAGAGATTGTTCAATGTCTTCATGTTACAGATGAAGAAATCTGCTTAATCTATTTAGTAGCAGAGAGAGAGAGCAAGGACCCAGGTTTCCTGACTCCCTGCCAGGTAGAAACAATGTTAGCTGAGCCTAAATTATGTCACTTCTCTCTCTCATTCCTCTTCTACTACATTTCTTTTTCATTTTAGCCTTCATTCTTTGTACATTGGTTGGAGGGCCTCTTAAAACTGGCATCAATGAAGTTCTTAAGAATTAGAAGCGCAAATACCTAAAATCTGTTACTAAGCAGTACACTTCAGTAATGTGCTTTTCACTCTACTATTTGTGGTATCCTGTACTTTCCTGGTGTGATTTCTTTTTATATAATGTGTGAATTTTGCAGCATGATGTCAACATGGTGAGATGCATAACCATATGGTTGCCACGCAATTGAATGCTCCAATCTGCGGACTGTCCTTAAGCAATTACTGTAGTGACCTACTTGTTACCATTTATTGTTTTGTTAGTAACAATTATTCAGAGTACTTTAACACAACAGATCCACCCAATATCTTTCATTAAATAATTTCTACAAGACTGTGTAAGAACTCCCAAGAATTCCATAATTGGTTCATCATTAAACACACATCTAGTGTCTAGTATATTTCAGGTACTGCATTTAGGGGTTAAATATGAGATATAGTCACTCCCTTCAAGAAGCTCAAGCTAAGTTTAGTTCAATTTCACCAATTTTAATTGACTCATACTATGTGTCCAAGCACTGTGCTGGTGAAGACATGGTAGTAATCACAGTGTAAGATTCCTGTAGGGGCTGCATTCTATCCCTCTCCCAACACACTGGAGGCTGTCTTGCCATCAGAACCCTGGTCCTTCCTTTCCTAAAGAGGTCAGAGATTCGCCTCCTTCCTTCCATCCCCATTCTTCTTTGTTACTTCTGTAGAAAGACTCCCCAGTTTCTGGCTGAGAGCAAAAACAGCTAAACCTTGAGGTCTTGATCCCTAAAAGAAAGTAAAATTCCATTTTATTGTTGATCCTTCAAGTGTTTTGTTTGGGTTATCCAAGTAAGCCCTCAACAGAAGATTTTTACACATTTAAGGAGAAATTAGGATTGCATATATGCTGAAAGAAAAATCAATGTCTTCGGCAATAACATGTCATATGAGCTTTCTGGTTCTCAATGCCTGCCTAATTTGTGTTTTGAAAAACTTAATTTTCACAACTGGGCAAGTTAAGCAATAAGGGTTTTGATCAGTTACCTAAAATTAGTTCCTCAATCTTTTCAAAAAGCTTTGTGAACATAAAAAACAATTTTAGCTCATATGTCATTAAAAATTGGCTTATTTCAGGCCAAAAGGATAATTGTGGTGATTGATGAATAGTATTAATACAAGAGAAAAGTAAATAGTTCCGTTGAAAAGTTTTTATTATTGTAGGGATAATGAAATTGCCAGAAGGCCAAGAGTCATCAGGCAATCTATCTCTTTTTGCCCTCTTTAGACAAAAAGAAAAAGAATGCAGATTCTTTTTTCTTTTATTTTTGCCTGAACATACCACATATAAATATAATTAACTATGTGAGAAAATAGAGACTGTCTTGAGTATGGAATCTGGGGCAAGTCTGCAACTCCATAATACTGTTTATCAAACACTTTGGACATTTCTGG